TAAATTTTGCTTCTGCTTATTGTTGCAATGCACAGCATGCAATATTGTGAGCTGTATTTATCAAAAACATTTATATATTCTCATTATTTTATATTAATAATAAATTGAAGCACTTGTTTTTTAAATATTATTTTATTATGTTTTGAACATTTTCCATTATTGCAGTTCTACAAACACACAAAAACATGTATGCACCCACATACAAATTAATCATCTGATGTACTATTTTTAATTATCGATTGGTGTCAATATAAAATTTCATAAATATAGATTTAATTTTTGATAACAAAAAGATTTCAATAATATTCGATATTGTTCCATTTGTGCGTATGATTAAACAATTATGTTCTTTGAAATGCATCAGATGGTTAATGCAAACATGAAAAACATATTTCGCCTAAAAGTACATCTTTCCCAATGCAGGTCTCTGTGGAAATTGGATAGAAATTGCTTATGGCACGAAATCCGGAAGTGTTCGAGTAATCGTTCAACATCCCGAAACAGTTGGCCATGGTCCACAGCTATTTCAAACTTTCACAGTACATCAGAGCAGTGTAACCAAGGTACATGCAATGTAACTTTTTTAACGAAAATTTTTCGTGTTGAAATTAAACTATAATGTTGTATACACATTAATTCCAATCATGCGTGAATTATGTTATAGGTAACGCTTTCAGAAAAATACTTGGTGTCTGTTTGTTCGGAGTATAATCACGTTAGAAGTTGGGCGGTGACCAGATTTCGCGGGATGATTTCGACGCAACCGGGATCAACGCCTGAAGCAAGCTTCAAAATTGTTTCCTTGGAAGCAATCGATCCATGTGTTAGCTACAACGCCGGCAACGATTTCGGTACATTGTGATATTATTCTTTCTTCGATTTGGGAATATTTTAAAATGATATTTCTCTTTTTAAATTCCTTTATATATATATACATATATATTTCCAACATTAAAAATATTTTTTGTTAGAATACTGATTTTTATACTCTTTCACGTTATATTAATACTCGAATAATGTACACAGGGCCGTTCGGTGAACAAGACGACGAGCAAGTGTTCGTGCAGAAGGTTGTACCCGAAACCGATCAATTATTTGTTCGATTAGCATCGAATGGAAAGAGAGTTTGCGTGATACAGTCGGTGGATGGTAGCATTATAAGCTCATTTTACGTGCACGAGTGTGAAGGCTCTAGTCGCATGGGCTCAAGGCCAAGACGCTTCATATTCACTGGCCATTCTAACGGCACTATACAAATGTGGGATCTCACAACGGCATTGGATCCGTCTTTCAATGCCACTCAAAGTATGTTACTCTCTCTTTCTTCCCCGTCGTGATGACGTAACGAAATCAGCGAGAATGATTCATGTATCTGAAATTCTGCGGGGAACAGAAAATTAGCATATATCACATATATCTAAAAAATTCTAGAAAGTAAACAATATTGTATCCATGATATAATTTATCTAGATATTGTTTTTTTTGTTTGTTTTTTTTTATATAAATAATGGCCGATATAATTTAATTTAATTTAATATAATTTAATGATAAATATTAGTAATACACTATATTTAATTTTAAAAATTCGATTATATATACTTATAAAAGAGATATATCTTTGATCTCGTTGATTTAATAAAAAATTAATCGCCATTTTATCACCCTGGTTTTTATAATTTCCATATTTTTTAGATACTTCTGGAGGACCTACGCCAGAGGAGCTTTGGAAATTATTGGATCAATGCGACCTAAGCAACAGTCATTGCTCGACACCTTGTATCAGTCCCTCACCTTCATTGATCGCATCTGGACCTAGAATTAAGTCGAGCAACGTGTTATTTCTCAATCAATCCCAAAATCCAGACGCAACGCCTGGACCAAGCCAAACGTAAGTAGGCGCCTGTTCAAACTATGTCGTAAAAACATGCCAGACATGCATGCTACCCCAGAATCTGCATTTATTTATTTATTTATTTTAATAAGTCCCTATAAAAGAACAATTCAAAAACTAAAAATCTATAGTTCCTAAGTTAACATCTTTGCATTTATATGTAATGAGACAACATTACTTTATTAAAGTTCGCTATTTATCTATTTAAATAGTGTAATTTAAAAGTAATATAGGGAAGGACTGTACTATAAAATTCTACAACTACATAATTATATATTACAGCTGTTAATGTTGAGAAAAAAAATATTATTATTTGAACATTTACTGTTTTACATAAATTTAAATGAATATCTAAATTGTTTTTAAGAGTTTAATATCTCGAGCTAATAAATCTTTGTTTATTGTTATTAACATTATCATAACTAAATTTTTCAAGAAATTTTACGATTTAAAAAAATTTATAAATATTTCTCTCTTTCTCTCTTTGAAAAGATTTAATTGTTTTGCTTATATTATTTATTATTATTTCAAAATGATTATCAAGTTTTTTCTTAAGAGAGATCAGTTTAATGAAATTCATTTTTTAATGTAAGCCTTTATACTCTGTCTTATGTAAATCTGTTTTTAATACAATAAGAGCCTGTCTAGAAAAAGGCATAAACATTAAATTCATAGACTGATAGATGATATAAGTTAAACGTTTTGTTTAAGAATTATATATTCTGTATCAATGTTATAAAGTGAATGTGAAGATGGTGATACACAAAATTACATCATTTCATTCTCTTACGATCTTAACAAGATTAACAAATACTGTAAAATTTTGATGAATACTTATACATAGTTATTGTAAGTCGGAATGACACCATTGTTATATATTTCTAGCGATTTTATACTCTCTCTTTGACTGTAAAACACTTAACATTACTTCAACATCGTATCGCTACCAACATTTCATGATCTTTGAACATTATTTAAAAAGTGTTTTTCTCTATCTCTCGATTAACAAATGGTATACATTACGTATGCAATTAAAAGACCTTCAAGATCTGAATAGCTCTCATTATATGTATATATGAGTACATGTATATATGAGTACTTGTGTATTTTTGTTATAGTTTTACTGCATATATTATATAATATATTGTAATATTGTTGCACAACTGTTACTTCTGTGATTTAAATAAACCTTTATGTATATGTGTATGATGACATCATATCATCTGAATATCACTTCCATTGTACATATATAGATATCGTACATATATTGTACATACAGATTGTTATAAAAGTAGACGATTAGAAAGATCATTTTACAAATTTTCTTAATATGTTATATTGATTACTATAATAATATATAATAGTATATGTTACATTTTCTTCGTTAACACAAAAATCTTCCTGAAAAAAGATTGGTAAATTATGATTTATAGAGACATGATCATAAAATAATTCATTGCAACACATAAATACATGCAACAATTCATAAATAATAATGTAAGAGTTAGATTCTATTTTCGCACTTCGGTTTTATGAACAAGTTCATTTACCTTAATAGTCATTGTAACATTTCATGTTATTACCGCTATAAAAATCTAATTAAATCTCAGGCACTACGGTGATACATTTGTAACAATCCCGAACTGCATAGTTGAATTATAGATATATCTTTATATCAGTGGTATAATATAGTTGAAATTAGTTAGTGTAAGCAACAATTACCACACGAAAACAATAGAACTCCGCCATGCAGTAACTTAATGCCATCTATGAAAATCGGGCACGAACTTATGCAATCATCCAATATTATTATTATGCAATTACTTTAATATTCGCGAGATTTTTCAACAGATAAGTATTGTGTACTCTGTTAGACAAGTAAAAAATATCACACAATAATGTAAATCTTGCTTAAAAACATTTGATCCTAGTATTTGTTAGAGAGATCAGACACGTCTCATATAAAGTGTTTAGTCCAGAATAAATTATTATTGAACAATGATGGATGCGTCATCGGCGTCAATAAGAAACACCAAGCAACTAAACCGATCACAAACAGACAGAGCAGCCCGGCTCTTTTCAGTGGATCCTTATATGCTGCTACTTCAGAAAGATCAGGAAATCCCATGTGATTACAAAAAGAATGCGCGGCGAACGGTGCAACGAAGTGTCCTAAGAAAAATACAACAAAGAAAAAAGATAAATACAAAATCTATAACGATTTTCGTGAGAAGAAATAGAAAATAATCCCACCTGTCTTTGCAAAGAGGAAAGCCGCGTACGCTCCAAATAAGGTCGTATATGCAGACTGAAAACCTGAATTTACAATACTTTATTTTCATTCATCGGGAAAACATCAGATTTATAGAGATGTCTTTTTAAAATCTGTGGTAAACTCACAGGATACAAACAGCGCGTGTTTGATTCCCACTCCCATCTTCATCCTCTCCACCACATGATGGAAATGAGCCACTCCGAAGAACAGAGGACACACGAATATGGCAGTAGACGGCGTAAAACATTGTAAGAGCAATGGCAACATACAGGCTCTGAAAGTCCATTCTTCGGACAATGGAGCGATCACTTGATTTCTCCACCAGATTAATGTTCGTATGCTTCCCAACCAGTACATGGGCTCTAAAAATAAAATTTATTTATTTGTTACTTTTTTTTAATTATCGGGATATCCTAATCGGATTTGCAAAATACTAACCAGTGTACAATCGCCACAGTCCATTAAATCCCTGTAGACTCAAAGGACCTAGGAATAGGATCATTGTTAGGAGTAACGGTATCACAGTTGCCTGTATTAAACCAGACCAACGTAGACCCAGCAATTCCCAGATAGTTACCTATCAAATATAATATAAGTGATAAAAATAGTTGCTACAGAATAGATGAGAGCTATTTAAACTCGAAATACCTTTTGAAATACTTTTTCATTTAATCCAAAATATAAGGGTGCTGGTGAAATGAGGGTCATGATAAATACGCTAAAAAATCGTTTCTTTATTGTTGACGGATGCTCTCTAAAACACAAGCAATCAAATATAACATTAATTATCAAAATTTTGTATCAACATATCAATATAATTACTTTTCATGTTAAAATGTATTCATTATAGTACAATTAAAAATAATTACATGTTAATTTTACCAATCAAATGTAATTGCAAGTATTATGTAATTATTACAAAACAATTAAGATTATATTGCATCGATTACATTAAAAAATTTGCGCAAAAGAAAAAAATGTATCGTTGAATTCAAACATATCGTCAGGCAGATTTCACATTATAATGTTCAAATGTCGCGCCAAATGTATATCAATATCGTACTCTAATCACAAATAGTATAGTCGGCGTCATGTCTGAAATTAAATCATAGGACATAGACATATAAAATACATAGACGAGCATCACTGCCTCAGATGGTATATACATATAACATTAAAAAAAAAAAAACATCTATTCAAAAATATACATGTCTCTTTTTTAATTTCGGCCTCGATTTCCTATAGGATAATATATGGGAGATGAGAGATTCACTCTAGTGTATTATAGAACTCGACGACTACGTTCCGTCGAATATATCACTAGAATCGTCATTTCACTAGAGAATTTCATGCGCCGTCGTCACTTGTCCAAAAAATAATCCCGAAAACGGCGCCGCCGCTTGACAGGAGCGCCACCACGTGCAAAACTGCGTGCGTCAGTCACGGATATCCATTCGGTCGGTGCGAGACTGTTCGCGTCCGCGAACGGTTTACCGAACAGGCAGTGAGTCGACGGGACGGAAGTCAAGAACCGAACCGAACCTCCAGTCGTATAAACTAGAGGGGGAGAGGAGGCATTTAAAAGAAAATCGGGGAAAGAGAAACAACAGACCCGTTCCGTTGACGTCGCGTCGCGAGTGATCGACGCTGCTGCCCGTTGTTATCCGTCACAACGTCATACCGCGAGACCGTTGTTGCACACATACACACGTACCTGTTGTGCGGCGAACTCCATACATACAGGCTCGCCACGTACACGATCGAGAGCCCGAGGCACGAGAGGATCGCGGAGACGCAGTTGTGCGAGTTATCGGTACTTCTCTCCGCGGCCTCCATAACTCCATAACTCCGATGTCGGTCGCCTGTGTCGCGCTCCACTGCGGAAGGGGAGCTCGGTAAAAGCGCCCCGTGGCGTCGGTGGCTCCGACGGAAGGGAAAGACGGGAGGGAGGAAGAAGAGAGAGAGAGAGAGAGTGAGCGAGGCGCCAGAGGTTGAGGCGGCGACGGCGACGAAACGGTGCGGGTCGAATGGGGGGTGAGGGACGTGTAACACGCACTCGCGGGGCAGAAACACGTCCGATTGGCGGCTGCCCTCTGGGCCAGTCGGCAAGCAGAGATCAAGAAGATGGCCGCCGTGCACGGTGGTAGTGTCGCTATTGTGTAGTGTGTCCTAAGATTTTGGCACCTTCTGCCAAAGCGTGTCCGCGACCGCGGCGTACCTGCCGGGCAGGGTACCCGCCGGGACTACTCGCGCATTCGTCGTAACCGGGAAGTGCGACGAGTCGCGATCGAGAGCGGAATAGGAGAAGGAGCGGCGGCAGCAGCAGCAGAAGCAAGAAGGGGAGGGGTAGGAGGTGGTGGAGGAGGACAACGACGGCAACGGGGACGGACACGAGGACGACCGCCGAGGGCCGCCGACGACACGCGCAAGATGCCAAGCGCGTCGTTCTCGTCGTCGCGCAGCTACGTGCGGAGATCGCGTCGGAAAAACGCAAACAGGATCCCTTTGCCGTCGAGAACCACGGGTAAGAGAGAAAGAAAGAAAGAAAGAAAGAGCGAGCGCGAGCGAAGAGGGACAGCGTGAGCGAGCGAGACGGAAAGAGAGAAAGACAGGGACACAAAGAGAGTCTCTCTCCTTCTCTCTCTCTCTCTCTCCGCATCGGAGAGCTTCTAAGATCTCGCTGCTCACCTGCTCTGTCCACTCTGTTCGCCATCGCCCATCTCATTCGGGAGCATCAACGGATCGAGAGTACCACACGTCATTCTAACCACGAGCTCCACGTACTCCGCCATCTCCGTCGAGTCTTTGTCTCGACGTACAGGCCTGCGTGCCGTCAACGCTCTCGCCCTCACCTATCTCTATCATTTTTTCTAGGATTTTTTCCTATCTTCTATTATCCTACTTATTTTTTCTCTCTCATCCAAGAGCCCATTTTTCTTTTACATGGATGTGCAAAAAAATTTGGAAAGGTGCTGAAAAAGTGATTTCAAATTGTATATCTGGTGAGAGAAAGAAACATTGACATTCTTTGTAACCAATTATATATAGGAGAGAACAAATTATTTCGTATTCATTTTTGTGATCCAGCCACATGTGAACTTCTCCAAGTTGTATCAAACATTACTTCCACGCAACTCTTAAACGTTCCAGCTGAGGTTATGTAGTCCAGAATCTATATTCATTGGCTTTCAAGGACAAAATTGTCAAGTAGAGACTCAGCCTAATCATAATTGTAGCGACAAGAAAAGTTTGAGCAAATATGATTAACGCTAAAAACTAAATGCTTAATTAAACAATATTGTAATAAATGCTACAATATATTTACAACATTATTTTACTAATTGTACTCAATTATTCATCTTCAAATTATAATCTCATCCATTAATCGCTTTTCAGATTTGTGAATAATTTCTTATTGATAGCTATTAACAGCCATATTGCTTTTTAGTATTTATAGATAATATCTGATTCAGAGAGAGAGAGAGAGAGAGAGAGAGAGAGCCTGCTGTGGAAATGGTACAATTGTGGATTCGAGGATTTACAATGAATTTTCTCGACGAGTTTTAGAACAACAGAAAAAGTCCTCAGTATAAACAAAGAAAATATTTTAACCAGCAATCGACAAAATCATCTATCTTGAAAGAATATATAACATACTTGTACATTCATGATGTGCTCTGTGAAGTTTATACACATGAAATTAAAAATTCTATAGTGCTTATAAAAGTGCAAAGCAAGAATTAAATATTTCAATGAAGCAAGAATTATATTATATTGGAAGACGATCTTCTATTACAATAATATAGTGCAAGAGCTGAGTGCCCCTCAGAAATAATAATAAGGGTTGAACGAACCCCGACATTATTAAGGGAACATGATCCTTATTATAATACAATATTGTGTTAGAGTAAAAAAACTCTCGTTGGAGAAACGATTGCTTTCGTACCTCTCGTATACTGTACGTCGTGGGCCGATCGCGATCTCCACTTCGCGATCAATCCATCGGAATGTTGGCTTCGGAGTCGCCCCCTTCCCTGTCCCTTCCCTGCGGCCCCTCTATACACACTGCCTTCTTTTTCCTTTTTCTCTTTCTCTCTCTTTCTCTTTCCCCTTTCTTCTCGATTCCGAATCACCAGCGATCCAGTTGGAACGCGGCACAAGAGTACAAGTCGATCGGTGCCGAATTTTCCAGCAGTCCGAGAGAGACGGAGAGCGAACGAGAAAGAGAGTGAAAAAAAGAGAGTGGGTGTAAGACTGATATATTCATACGACAAAATCTTTGTTGGACGTCGATCGATTGGCTATCAGAGTTCTTAGAATCTTGATAGAAATTTCAGAAATTTTTTATTTGAGATCACTACATTCGACGAAGTCGTACAACAAATATAATATCACCCTAAGAAGAGAGGGATAGAGTAGGAGGAAAGGAGAAAAAGAGATTGAGAGGACGAGTGAATAAGCGAATAATAAATATGCTTGAGATCAATATGTAAATTTTTTCGTATTTTGTTTTCAGAGAGAAGTTCAATTGTTTACGCTGTGTGATTATTAACTTTTTAGATGTGTGATATTTAGAATCCTTCGAAAAGTGAAGAAGACACAAGAGAGATTATCTGCGAAAAAAACAATTAAAATAAATTAATCAATTTAATTTGAACGTGTATTTAAAAAGAAGAAGAAAAAGATCTTTAATTAAATATCTTATTTTTTACGAATGCGATTTAATTCCAAGATCTTGAGTTCTAGATTAGTACTGTCAATATACTTGATTATCCATATGTTTCGGTGAAAATCAAATATAAAGCTGTTATTAAAGTGACATTAGATAAGAATAAAAACGATGTTGTCTTATATATACAAACTTATCTATTTAACTGCAACAGAGATATGTACTCGAGAAATTTAATCGCGTTAGAATTAAATCGCGCAGACGGTATTTAATGAAAAAATAAAATGTTTAAACTGGTTATATATATATATATATGTATGTGTATTCTTATATACAGAAGGAAAAGAGGAAAGGAGGCAAGAACTGACGCGATATTGCGGATGTTTTATAAGTGATGAATTAGCGATGCTCTACTTTCGCGAGAGAGGATTCTGGAGAAGACCCGAAAACAACGTGATCGAGAGTAATCCTCAGCCCGAAAAATCACGTATCCCGTAGATGCTACGAGCAGAGCGCCATCCCGTGCGTGTGTCCGTGTGTTATCGGCTAGAAAGTGAAATGTGTCTGAAAGGCGCTGTTTCCCAGAGCGGAGTGGAAGACGCGTGACGGATTCTGCTCCTTTTACAGCGATACTCGTTGACGCACCGATGATAATGATTTGATAGTGAATGAAGAGAGAGATAAAGATAGAGGAACGTCTGTGAATTTCTCGGCGTATCTTTTTTTGTCAATTTGTACTTTGGTATACGATATATGAATTTCATATTTTGTGATAACGGCAATCGGTCAATACATCGTGTCTCGATATCGTTTCCCGTCATGATATAATGTTGCGTAGAGAAGCAAAAGGAATATATGCTTTCTATTAAAAACTTTATTGTACGATATGTACTCTTGCAATAAGTTTGACATTAAAAATGAAGCAGTGAGATTTATAAATTTTTTTTCTTTTGTTATCCATGGTTCTAAGATTGTATTGGAGTATAATTGGATTTGCATAATGTCAAAAATTACATTGTGAGATATTGTATTGCACGTAATTGCAATATTCTTTATTAACCAATTTTTTATATCGATTTATGACATTGCATACTTGACAATTTATGCATCAACACTCATAAAACAGGGTCACCTTGTGTTAATATGTAAATTTCTCTAGTGGTCTCTAGCTTATTACTAATTATAGAGATTATAGCAGATGACTAATATGCTTTTTGTTTAGTTTTCTATTCTTGTGAACAGGATATATTATTTGTGACAATGTGCAATGTTTCTCTCTTTCTCCTTCATTTTTTATTTGACAGATATATATTTTGGATTGAGGCACAACACCACACTTTATCCTTTCTTCCATCCTTTCTCTCTCGTCTCTTACTATATTTATCTTAATAGGCTAATATCAATACTTTATTAAGGATTCTCTATCAGAAAGAACTATAATTTAATTTATGTGGACATATTCGCTGTTAAAATAATGTCTACTTCTTCTTCTTCTATATAGATTTTCATTCTAGCAGGACGCAAAACTACGATTTTAGATTTATAGTATTAAAGGTAGTATAGTATAAAAGAGACTATTCCTTTGGTAAATTAAGTGTAATCATATATCCCATTATCTTCTTTCTTTCTTTTTTCATTTTTCTTTTACATACAGCTATTCTTCGTAAAAGATTCCTTTTAAAAATCCTTTTGTTATCAGGTAGTGACACAAAACCACAAAATAATGTATACACGGCATTGTCTTCTTTTCGGGGAAAAACTACCTGCTCTTTCCTCATCATTTTTTTACCTCCCTTTTTTTTAGAGACTAGATTAATTTTTTAACTTCTTTTGTTTTTGTTTATTTTTTTTTATTAGCCGAGCCATGCGACCTACCGTGTCCGACGTCCAATCAGATTCTTCCGGGAGGTGGAGTTGGCGGTGGAGGCGGCGGAAGTGGTGGACGAGGCTCGTCCCCTAGTGTATCCGGAGTAGCTGCACCCTCGCCGTCTCCGCAGTCACACTCATCGCCGTATGACTTGAGACGCAAGAGTCCACCTCATCCGGATCCAGCGCCAGGTACGAGTTCCGCTCTACCGCCATCGGGTGGAAGTAGCATTGCCGCTACCTTCGGTTCATCGTCTTTGCCAGCAAGAAAACGACCGAGACGGACATGTTCGCTTTCTACAGACGGTACGTCTAGAAGTTGTCACAGTTGAAAGATGAGTCGATTTAAAAATTGTTCCACGTGTCGAGAGGTAAATAATTAATATTTAAATAATGTGATGACCACATATTATTAATTTATAGCATATATATACAGTATATTTTTATGTGCAATATAATAAATAAAAATCTTTTTAATGATGGAGATAAATTTGAGAATTATACACTCGAGAGATTTCGACATTGCTCTCTCATTCGCTTCTTGACACGTAGATCTCTAGAATTCAACTCCGCTGATCAGTCAGATTTAATTTTGGCTTCTCACGGCAGGTATAAATACAAACACAGCGGCGC